AACCGTAACCGTAACGTAACGTAACGTAACGTAACGTAACGTAACGTAACGTAACGTAAGTAACGTAATAGTAGTAGAGTAGAGAGAGAGAGAGAGAGAGAGAGAGAGAGAGAGAGAGAGAGAGTTAAAGTTTTTAATGAAAATGAAGAACAACCTGATATGCAAGGAGTCAGAATCCCATCCCCTATCACCATTGATGTCCCAATCATTGTGACCAGAAACAATGTGGTTTTTGCTGCTTTGTTCTTCTCAAGAAATTCTTTTACTTTCTGAGCCCTCCTCAAATGGCTAGATGGTTTGTCCAATTTGTAGTTGGAGATTTCTCTGTCCTCTTGCTGAATGTTTGGAATCAAGCCCACCTTTGGGGCATGCTTACAAATCAAGGTATAGAGGGCAAATGTCCCCCCTGTCAATCCATTAATAATCTAATCAGGCTAAAGGTAGCTAGCTAATGTGGGGCATTTTATTTGTTTATTAGTATAAAGAAGGGAAGTTCATTGGTTTAAAAAGTCTAGCTTCCCAACCCACATGGGTATCAATCCTACTTGAACGAAACAGTTTGTTTGTTTGATCCAATTTTTGCTAGATAGGGAAGTTTCTGAAAGCTCTGTTGCTTTGATCATTAATTAAATGAAATAAATGTTTCTCATTGTTCCATCCTCTGGACTAAACCATTTGGATTTTATTTTCGACAAAGTTAAGAGGCACTAATTTTGTGCTTGTTGTTCTGGTTCTTGCTGGTGTTGTGGTTGTTGTTATCAATGTTGTTGTTATTGTCGTTGCTGTTATGGGACAGTGTATAATGTGACTTCTGTAAATCTGACATATCAAGTTATCATGCACTAATTGATCACATCTCTTAATACAATTACTATTATTATGGTTACTATTACTACTAATCTACTGCTATTTTACATTAACATGTACTAATTGATCGAGTAGATCAAAATGACATGGTCAGAAGCAGTGAGAAAAGATATCGGAATTTATGGCCTTACTGATGGTATGGCCCTTGATAGAGCAGAATGACGGACTAAGATTCGTGTAGCTGATCCCAAATAGTTGAGAAAAAACTCTGATGATGATAATGGTGTACTGATTGACCACACCCCTTAATGATTTTGAAGTTATGCACTCGTGGGCAAGAACGTGCTATTAGGATGTGACTTCTTAGGCGGCTCTTCTCTAATGGCTTCTCTAACCAATCAAATTGACCAACCTTGTTTTACTGATATTTTTTTTTTGGGATTGTTTATAAAGAGACCATGTATTTTTTATACATGGATGTTCCAATCATTATTGTCCCTTAAATTTCAAAATAGGTGGTTGTAAAATTGTTAGACACAAAGATCCCAAAAAAATTTCTTGGACTTCGTGATTCATCCCAAGCCATCCAATTAGACATCTAATGAGTGAGAATGATTGTAACATCTATGTAAAAAAGATAAATGATCTCTTTGTGGTCAATCCCTATTCTTTTTCTAAAACGATTTACTAAGGACACCAATCGGTTATGTAAAAGTGAAAAACACACTACAATACACAGCATGTACACGATGCACAGGACACAGCTAGTGCATCCACCGTCCATCTCACCAGCGTAGGCTGGAGAGTATCCATGCTACTAGATGACGAGTATTCACCTGGTTCGTGCGTAAGGTTTATCAATTTAATGTCCAGTCCTCCACCGTCCATTGTTGAGTGTTTGAGTATGGACAGTGGAGGCCCTGCCTGAGTACCATATGTCATACACAGGCTGTGTATTGCATACTTTCAATATGCTGAATATGAGATAGTTCACCACAAAATCATCCAAAGGTTTCAAAGTTATTTTGGCCATGCCAGATGGTGCATAATCTCATACTCTCTTGGTATCTTTTACTTAATACAACAGTTAAACATGTTAAAAAAAGATAATGAACCCAAGTTTCGAGCCCATGTTGGGACGGTAATGATATACTATGATTTGGTGGACTAAGGAAAATCCATAATCCATTAGTTATTACCATTCATTTAAATTTTTTTTTATTTGTTCCGCTTGAAAATATTTTACGGAAAATATTTTCACATGAAACGATTTCTTCATGTAATTTAGGTATGCGAATATTTTTATACCAATTGGTTCCAGTCGATGATTTAAAAAAGGGATTGGTGATTAGGATTGGGCATCACAAAAACTGCTCTTGATAGGTGAATCGGTGGTCCGGATTGCCGTTTTACTTTGTGGAAAAAACAGTGAATCGGCAAAAAAACATGTGCAAAAACAGTGAACAGGCCAAAACCCGGTCTGAATAAGTGAATTGGTGTTTTTGCTATAGCAAATCTCCGGTTCTCTTCTAGACCTAGACAATTTCCTATATATTGGTAGAATCGGCACGGGGTGATCGATTCTTGAGTCTGGGCGATTTCGTGTCGACCTAACATTTTTTAAATCACTAATCCCCCTGCATATTTTCACACTACTTGACAATTAATTGGTGTGAAAATATTCTCTCACATAACCAAAATTTTTCTACGTGAAAATATTTTTTCGTGCGAACCAAACATGCATGTGGGACCCACCCACCTAGTTTTGGAGGGTCCCACTCTCATTTCAAGGGGCAATGGTGATCACCGTCCATTTAAAACAATGGGGCCCATCAAAACAAAATGTGGGATTGTTCTCTTTTGATGGGCCCTGCTCTTTCTCCCTTAACGTCCATCATTTCAAGGGAGGGAGATAACCTGGTGGACTATGATTATCCGTAGTCCTCTGAACTGGGTCAAACCGGTCGGGCTCTTTTTATCCAGTGTTTAGAAGAGTAAACAGATGTTGAGGGTTTAGACTTACCATCACCGTTATCATTGGCAAAGAGAACAATGAAGACATATTTGATGAAGGTTATAAGTACGATGGTGTAAATAATGAGGGACAAGACCCCCAATATATCCTCTTGATCGTCAATCCCACGGGTAAAAGTGCTGGAGTACACATATAGTGGAGATGTTCCTATGTCACCATACACCACCCCAATGCTCTGCAAGGCTAGGTTTAGTGCGGTCAGCCACCCCTTCTGCTTCACAATAATCATATGAGAGCAAGAGAGAGTTAGTTCACACTAAAACTCCAGCACCTTTAGGAAAAAAAAATATAAAGGGAAAGGTTTATATATGGGCCAGGCCTTAAACAATTCAATTAAGGTGAGGTTTCAATAAGGTTGCAACCTTAAACAATCCAATTAAGGCATACCACTAAATTTTATCGTAAAGATAATTTTGGAATAAAAAATACTGAGGGTGGTTTGACAATCTATTTTTCTATTTCTAATAATTTTAACATAAAAATAATTTTGGAATAAAAAATACTCAGGATGGTTTGACAATCTATTTTTCTATTTCTAATTATAGAACTTTAAACTGTACAAATGGTTCAAATCAAGTAGATCTATAAATATATAAAAATATTAAAAATAGATGGTCTAGATAATGTGTTGCAAGATACACAATCTTTTTAACTTAAAATCTTTTTTTTTTTTTTTTCATATTTTTCAACATCAAAACAACCTTTTATGATGGATTGCGGTGCACTTTTAATTATACATTTTAAGGTTGCAACCTTACATAAATTTTTTTTCATTAAATTAGAGCGTACCTCAAAAGTCTACTAAAAAAAGTTATTTAGATGCCAAAAAAATCCTCAAATCAATCATTTAGACCTCATGTATAGGGATAAAAAATAAATAATTTAAAGTTTTGAGAATTTTAGAGAGAGAGAAAGAAGTGTTGCATCAAAATATGTGTGCGTGTGTATGAGACAGAGAGAGAAGCTTGGCAGTCGAAACTGACCCTGCTGCCATGACCGGTGGCCCCAGAGACTCTCCCTGCTTCGAAGTCCAGGGAATCGACTCGCCGGAGTCTGGCCCATGAGAGTTTTCGTTCTTTGATCTCTTTTGGTGGTGATTGAACATCTGCTCTCTCTTCTCCATTTTCTGACCCATCTTTTTGAACAAAATCAGCCATCTTCTCTAACTGGTTCTCTCCAACTCTGCCTCTTGCTGCTTCTTTCCTGCTTCTCTTTATAAGCAATGAAAGTCAGAGATACAAGTATTAAATAAAGTTTCAAGGTGGTTGATTTTGGTGCATGTGAATATAGTATTCATAGCTACAAACCTCCTCCTTTATTCAATGCATAAATGGTCTGTTTTTTGCTTCCTAAAAGATGGTTAGTCCTGAGCTAGGTTAGTGTTAATTTTGTTCTTTAATATTTTCTTTTGCAGATGTGTCAAACTCTAAATCAATCAGTTACAGGCTTATTTAGACCTAGGGAAGTTTTAAAATTTTAAATCTCACTTGATACCAATTGGAATGAGAGTGGAACTTGGTGAAGGTGATTTTATGAATTTCTTAGGCTTTATTATACTCTTTGTTGCTCTATTCCATATTTTTATTTATTTATTTATTTTATTTTTTTTATTTTTTTTTGGGGGGTATTTCAATAGAAAAAACGGACGTTTGATGACAGTGGATGGTGTCAGTAGGATTGAAAACTACTACCTGATAATTAGGTATGGGGGTACTACCACCAGGACCTAGCCCATCTGTCCCTATAATGCACTGCATGGTTAAGCTTGTCAGGCAAAGTTTAAATAAAGGACGTGTAATGTTTACTCTTGCTGGAGCATACTTTACTCTCTCAAGCAAAATTCTTGCTTGAGTGGTTTTCAGGTTAGAAATTTTGCATCGACTTTATAATCACCAGATTAGTGTTTCAAGTACAATATTTGTATTTTGAATTTAAACATGCTTACATCTAGTCATCCAAAGTTTGGACAGCCCTGTTGAATCTTAGGACATTTTTTTCAGCCAACTAAATCATAGAAGTTACACGGCAACAAAGTGTATAATGAGCAATCATTATCACCAATTTTAATGCTTGTAGAAGTAAAGTTGGAAGCAGAAATGGCGTCTCTGAGGTTATGGCCCTTAATAAAACAGAATGACGGATCAGAATTCGTGTAGCTAACTCCAATTAATTAAAAAAAAAACTATAATAATCATAAGGAAGACTTGTAGAAAGAATGTAAAGTTTTAATCTACACACCTAAACAATTATGATACACTCATTGGTTACATTTACTTAAATGGGGGTAAATTATTAAATACATCTAGTTGTTTAGATTTCAATCCTATACATGAACAATTTGGTATTTTTTGTAATATTGTTTCAAGCGCCACAAAATTCAAATAAAACTTAAAAAGTGCTGCGGTTAAACAGAATGATTTGACATCTTTATTGATTTTGTAAGATAAGTTGACCATTCAATTCATATCTCCCACATACACATTCTTGCAATCAGCTTTTGTATATATTAATTTGAGATTGGTTTCAAGTTCAAGAGGTTATCCCAAAATGTAATGTCCTAATATATACTCGTACATAGGGATTTTACATAAGTTACTATGCACCTGGGGGAACATATATTTTTTTGCACACATATGTAGAGAGAAGAGCAGGAGAGAGAGTGTTTTAGTTCAATGTTGAGAGTGTGCTTTTGTTGACTGTGAATCACATGCATCTTGACTGTGATCACGCGTATCTTATTTATCCAAAAAAATAGAAAATCACATGCATTTTGACCAGTGGCTTACATCAATGCAAATCCAACCACTTGGTCTGGTAAGACGTGTCAAATTTGTTTCAAGCAACATGTCCATGGCTACATGCATTGTTTTTACGGAAAATACTTACATGAGCCGACCGGCATATGCAACAGCATAGACCGGGGGGTCAAGATTGAAGGAATAAAGAGATGAGCGGCTTACATTTTTGCATTAGTAAATTAAATGATTTTGGAAAAAGTAGGGGTCTAATGGACTTCAAATTTGGGCTTTGTACGTTGTCTTGTATTTTGAGGAAATAGATCTACCAAGGTAGAGTAAAAAAGACGATTCTGGAGGGCTGTTAAAAGCCCGGGCCGACGGCCCGTAGGGCTTTT